TTATTCTGTCTCCCATCTCGACTTTTTGTCACTTTAATGTGAAGCCCGAGGTCAACTTAACTATAACTATCAAAACGCCTGCCATTTGATACAAATATATATATATATATATATATTTGTAATACCAACTCAACTATTGGCATTCCCGTGGTACCAAGTGATTGTGGCATAAAATAGGATTACAGACTTTTTCTCATGGAAGGAAAAAAAAAGAAGTAAAGGATAGGAAAAGTATGCCAACTATCCCATTCCAGCTACAACAGAACAGTTCGGTTTTATTTTGAATGCATAATTAGATTGAATCCTAGAGAACCTCTTTCGCTAACTGATTGGTCTCATATTGATGAGTTATTGAGAAAAAAAATGAATACTTTTCAAAGTAATCCTCTTTCATGGTTTGCGAGCTGTCACCTACTGCCCCTTTAAAAAATACTGTTTAAGAAATTACGATAGGTCAGAACTCCTTTCACATAATCTCAGATTTCCAGAAAATTTAGCAAATTTTCGAGATTGAGAAAAAGAATGAGAAATTAATTATACCCTTAATTTTACCAAGAAGAGGAAACACCACAATAACTACTCTGGTTAGACGTTAATAAGGCCCCTCCGTGTGATAATCAATTTTACTTAATACAATTAAAAACCTGTATAATTCACTTATGAGATTGGTATCCTAATAGATTAACCAATCAAATTACAATCTCCATCCAATTGGGCGAAATTATTTCTCAGGTCTACACAAGGAATTAAACGAACACAAAGAGCAAAATATAAGGTACTATAAAAAATAGCAACGGGATTACGAAGCTATAAGTAAAAAAAAATGACTATAGTGTCCCAGACCAGTCAATTTATTTTTAGACATTTTAGCTCGAAAAGCGGTGATTCTAAACCCAATTTAAGTGCTTTACTAATAGAAGCATTATGAGCGATTAAGCCAAAAAAAAGGAAAAGTGTGTCTCAGTAAGGTACGCTAAGACTAGAGATCGGATCGAGGAGGAAGATGTGCAGCTCAAACGATAAATACAAGGGATATTGCATTAGTGAGAACATTTCGTTCTCAGACTCGAGCATGGAAAAGAAGCAAACAAGAATGAATTTAATAGATGTTATTAACAGGGCTAAAAATAAACAATTCTGTTTAAAATTGTGCTATATATATTATAGAGAAAAACTTCCTATGTCACATTGATTTCGGTTATTTTATGATAAGTTAAATGGGATCCGCGATAGACTTACAAAAAAAGTCTACAAACCGGTAGTTGACTTCAAACTACCATGACCCAACTGTATGTCATATTGCACCACTTTCACAGTACTCACCTCACCTTTTCCATGCCTTTGTGTCTATCTCTTTTGCATCATTGAATCACTCTTCGGTCCCCCCCCCTCCCCTACCTGACTTTTTGTGACTCTGATATCTCTCCCCTCTGTGAAGCCTGAAGTCAACTAAAGGGCTAAAGATAACTATCATAAAGCCTGCCATTTGAGATAAATAAATGATAAGTAAAGAAGAAAGTAGGCCAAACGTTTCTCTAACTTAAAATAACTTATAAAAACTTAGTTTTAACTAAAAGGATATTACATTCATAGGCAAAGAGGAATTGAAAATCGAGGTCCAACGCACACAAAAAATTCCTCAGTCATTTGCTTATTTACAAAAAAAGCATCAATTATTCAATGAAAATTGAGTTTGTTCATAAGATAATGCATAAAATAATGATGTATTTGACCCTAATATCTAATAAACAGGAACAATACATTTGCAAACAAAATTTTTTCAGGCACAAAAATAAGGAAACAGTGTGTAAATTTCAGGTACACATCTATGTTTAGCACAGGTGAATTATTCGGAGTGGGAGGTGTGCGATAGACTTACCTCCACGTGGTGCACCCCGGGCAACGTATACTCATACGGCGAAAAAGTCTATTAACCAGCAGTTGACTTCTCACTTCAGACTACCATCACCCCCACGGTATGTCATATTCGACCCCTACCACTACTCATCTTACCCTTTCTGAGCCTTTGTGTCTGTCTGTTTCTTTTACATCTGTGAATCACTTCTATTCTCCCTCCCGAATTCTTCTCACTTTGATGTTCCCCCTCCCCTCTGTGAAGCCCGAAGTCAACTAAAGGGCTAATGATAACTATCAAAACACCTGCCATTTGTTATAAATAAATAATAAATAATTATTCGGAGTGGAACATTAACCGGTGGGATTTTGAATTGTATTAACGACTTGTATAATTATGCAAATAAATATCACTCTCGATGGCCATTAGAAAATATTGACAAAGTGAGGAGTTGTGACTTCACCATGAACTTGCTCAGTCAGGAAAGTTGTCAAGCCTTGTGAATAACAATGGGCTTATACTCGTATAAGATTAACAGATGAAGAAGTTAAATCTACATCTGTTTAATTAGACAGCTGATTATAGATTATATTTATGTTAATTAAGTGAATAGGTAGGATTTTACGAGTGCAGGTAAGAACAAGCACAAATAAGATTAATAGAAAGAATATACCACGGTCTCGTGGCTCCTAATTCATCATATGCATGAAATAGCATCCCCCGAGGTGTACAAATCCGGGTCGTCAATGCTAAACTGCGCAAACTTGAATCAATACAATTGGAAACCCCGTAAAGTGAAAAAATCTAGACCAATCTTTGAGACTTTGAGCTCTTCACCTTAGAAACTTCCGGATAAGTAAAAATTCCAAAGTGTTTGCTCCAACGGAGTGCAATAACTTTCTAAAAATTAACCAAAATTGCGCCACATGCTTTTCTAGGGCTTAATTTTAGCTTCGCATAAGAAAGGGGAAAATATCATCATCATCATAATAAGAGCAGACATACTTTTCAAGAGGAATTTTAAAGACGTGGAGAGAAGTGCTAGCAGCTTCTGAAATGGTCCTATGATCGGTATTCGGCGTTTTCGCAGTTGGAGGGAGGGAGGAGGAAATCTTCTCTGTATCCACGCCGATGGAAATATAGACCTCCTCGGGAAGTTGAACTTGCTCAGGCAAGTTAGCTGAATCCTTCGTTTCCTTCAATTCAAGCTCAGGACTCTCAGAAGCAGACTTAGTTTCTAATTTTTTTTTAAAAAAAGGTCTGAAATAATTATACAAATTTGGACAACATTTGCAGGTTTTTTTATTAACTTAATATGAAAAAGAGGACGATTCGAAAGAAAAACAAAAGCGGAATGTGTGTACTATGCATGAAGAGAGAGCGAAAATATTGAAATCTAGGTTAGAAACAAACTTGTTGATATAATAAAACGACATTGTGAGTGATATGACAACACCTAACAACTAATATATACTAGGCTGCCCAATGGGGGTTAATAGATGTACTATAGCACAGACTCAACTACTAGTAGAATACTCGTAACTAGTGTAAACATTAAGAAAGTATATTTACAAACAATCCAAGTGCATGACTGCTAGGTTGGCCAACAACGGGGCTATGATACAGGTTGGAAAAGATTAATAAAAATGCAGTGCCTAAGAGTAAAATTCATCCGAAAGACTTGTTGAGAGGAGGAAATCGATGATCTGTAAAAAAAGAGATTAAAATCAGTAGTAGATTCAAGCTTACCACAAAGTATAGAACTCAAAAGGATTTATACTTAAAGATGTTCAATGTCTCCATTAACCACAAACTCACCACCGATAGGGAGAGAATGGGTGGCTGTAGAAAACAATACTTCAATAGATGGAAAATGCCTTCAACCAAAACATTTCCTTTTTTAACCAGTTGCAATAATTCTGTTCTACTCCATCCCCAATTGCCAAACTATAAATGACAGAGCGAACATGACATGACCCTAATTAGGCCGTCCCCATTAAGATAAACCAAGCAAACCTCAAAACACAAAGCTTAGTTTTGGGAAGACGGGGTGTGCGATAGACTTACCTCCACGTGGTGCACCCTCGGCAACGTATACTCATACGGCGAAAAAGTCTATTAACTGACAGTTGACTTCTCACTTCAAACTACCATCACCCCACTGTATGTCATATTCAATCACTTTCACCATACTTATCCTACCTTTTCTCTGCCTTTGTATCTGTTTGTCTTTTTAACATCTTTAAACACTCTTCTGTTCAACCCCCTTGACTTTTTTCGATTTGATGTTCCTCTTCCTCAGTGAAGCCTGAAGTCAACTAAAGGGCTAATGATAACTATCATAAAGCCCTGCCATTTGAAATAAATTTTGGGAAGACAGAGAGAGAGTGTGTGTATGTGAGAGAGAGAGAATATGTATAATATATGTATATATTAAAGGGACACGTAATCGCTTTGTAAGCCATCGTAGGCCAGGATTGGGAGGTGCGCCCGTACGACTCTGTTTGTTTAACATAATCCCCCAACCTGATCATGACTAAGGCCCCTACGAGTACACTTTATCCACAATATACGTACTGAATAAACATGCTCCGTGCTACACGTCTGTTACCTTTATAGCTGGGCTATAGCTTAGCAACTACGTTCCTGGAAGACAAGCAATTCGATAACAGAGAGGATTTGGGGACAAAAATAGCTTTTCAATCCAAAAACCCTAAAAATATAATTAATTAAGCTCATCGTCAATTATTAGTAAATTAAAATCCTAAAACATTTGGTACCAAGAAAAGATACCAAACAAAACAGAACAAAAAGGATAAAAATATAAATAAAAAAGTGGTTGATAAGACTAACTAATAAAGTATAAAGTAAGACTCTAAGAAACACAAAATTGTGAAATAAAGAAAAGAATTAGAGAGAACTTGCTGTCATGAGTTGGAGACTTTTTTGTTACTTCCGGAGATTTTTCAGGTAGGAAGATTTCAATCTCCGAAGAACCTGAAAGTTCTTTCGGCAAGGAATCTTTCTTGGGATCCTTTGTATGACTATTAAAAAAATGAATGATAGCAAAAATATGGAATTGGATTTTATAATTTGATAACGTACAAAACAGTCAAGAGGTTGTGCATATCTCCATGTGTGTTCAAAGAGACTATGGATGCAATTGGAATGCAGACAGAGAGAGCCACCACGTCATGAACCGGTTCAGCAGCCTCCAAAATGAGTTCAGGAAGGACTAAAAGAAAAAAAGATGCAGAAATTGCAATAGATCCTTCAGAAGTGCTACCTATTTCAGACGAATTTGGAGAATTAGATAAGTGGATGGTATCTTGGCGTTTAACTGCATTAGCCCGATTCAGAGCCGATGCTGTCGCTAAGGCATCAAAACAAACTGCATCCGGAGTAAAAATCAGTAAACCGTCGATTTCATTCTGAAGTTTACATACAAAACGAAACGTAAAATGAATTAACATTAATAAAGAAAGTTTACACCCTAAAATGACAATGTACTTTTGACGGCAGAAGCACTCGTTTTGCTTTGACCTTAACAAAGAGACGTTCCATGACGCCTTCCTGAAATGATGATGAGGAAATATCAGCTTGACTATCTAAGGAAGTAGTTATCGGAGTGAACAATTGGTCAGAATTTTCATCGGAAAGTAAGCGAACTCGAGTTGCGGTACCAGGAACATGGCGAAGACGAACGTTCTGCAAAAATTATTATTATTTACACAGTGAATGTATACGATAGAGCAAAATTAAGTAATTTGAACCAACCTGTGCAGAAACCTCATCTTTATTAGGAATATACAAACGTTGTCCGGGAAAAAGTGGGGGATGACTAGAACCAAGCATTCCCAATCTATTAAAACGAGCGAGTTGGGCTGGAGTAACATTGCCAACTCGAGCCGCTATACTCATTAATGAATCTCCAGCCTTAACCTATAAATAAATTTAAATGAAATAAAGGAAATTTTGTAGGAAATGGACAAAAAGCTTGATACGACTCACTATATAACTCCCATGTGGAATTGTTTGCTTAGTAACAGACACTAAAAATTTTTTTAGAAAAAATGCCATTACTTTCTATGGATTCCATGTTAACTGGTAGAGTAGAAATGAATATATGGGTCAGTAAGGTGAAAACCACGATTTCTAATAACGCGGTTCACCTTGAGCGAGTAATGTATAAATAAAGTCAAAAATAAAATTATTATAAAATTTGTACTACATTTTCAATATCTTCAAAAATAAGTTTTTTAGTGTTAGAAAGGCACAACGTATTTTAAATCAATCAATACACAATAAGAAACTTTGATTTGACTGTCTCTTTCCCTATAGTCATTGTAGATACCTATTCATCCTTTGTGCGCAAACAGTGCCCATCACCAATACTTTAAGTGATGTGATTGATCAGTCTTGGTTGTTAATTTTGGTCAATTTCTCCAAATCATGCTTTCAAAACGCTTTTAATATGCATAAATAAAGGTAAAAGTCAATCAATATAAAATTTTATGAAATTTTGGCCTTTTCGATTTTCGTAATAGCGTAAGATAGCTTCAAATATTACACTTAACTTTAGAAAATATTTTTTTTATTTTAATGGTTAAGTAGAATAAAGTAATTTATATTAACATTAATTAGAAGAATACTCACTCCATGTCACTACCTTGAACCCTAAACGAAGCATTCTTTACTTACGTTGGTTATTTGTGTGATGGAGGTAAAATCGCTTTTTGTATTTGTGGGTTCAAGTTCATCAAAGTGAATGGTGCCCAATTTCTATATTTAGAACCATGAAAAGGTTGCGACTTTTCAAAAATGGATAATGTTGTACATACTAGCCGAAAAATATGTCCAATTTTTAATTTTCCACTTGTTCTGTGTTCATGAAAACTCGCGACTTTATTAAGTAATCTTGTGTGAGCCCATGGGTTTGGGAAATTTTTTCCAGCGGACAGTAATTTCATTTACATATTACCTTCATTTGTAATAAAATATTTATCATGGAAAATATGGATATGGCGGACTGCAACCAGTCATACTTTTGCTGATTTGGGTCTTTCTTCATATCTCTATTTTTATCATACCTAAATGGTCATAATGCAAGAGCACTTGTAAAACTGCGTAATTGAAATCTCGTATATGTGCTATGAGATATATCTCTTTTAATATTTATTATTCTGTCAAGGATTTTAGTAATATTTTAGTGATTAAATTTTTACATGTAAATTACTTGTTTTTAATACATAAGCTAAATATATCCTTGTCAGAACGTATGCGCTGAAGTTTACATAAGTATAAGTGGATGCCAGTATCATATAATTATTGTCATCCGATCACTATTAGTTAAATGAAAAATAATGAATGAACTGGTAGCCTCTTTATTATGCCGTCCACTTTTTCACTAATGACAAACAATGCCGCGAACTAAGGATGAATATTGAAAAGAACTCGTAATCAGCAGTTATTACGCCATTAAAAATATATAGCGCATTTTCAGCTAATGAAACACAGTTAAGTCAAATTTTAAACAAAATTAATCAAATCTATTGTTTTCAGTGAGGAAATTCAATACAATTAGTAGATTCACACTTGTTTTACAAAGCATATGGTCGCGGCGGACTTATAAGATTTTTATCTGATTGGTTTTTATGGTCAGTGGTTATCAATTCCGCTGATTACTGATATTTATTTTAATCTGTAGATTTAATTATATTTTGCGTACACTGTATAAATAGGCCCCGATTGTTCGAAAATGAGTTTACCGAAATCTTCAAATAAGAATCGTGAAGAGGAAAAGATTAATCACTTTCTAAGTGGCATGTCAAATATGCAATTTTATTCCTTTAGGTTTCCCCGAAGGATATGAGCACGTTTTAAATGAAAACAATGCATCTATTAGATTCAAGCAAGGGGTATGTTCTTCTAATTCCTGTTTTGAAAATTAGGCTCCTTATGTCTTCTGCGATTGCTGCAAGAAAAGCTTCAAATCGAACCAAGAGACTATGAAACACATAAGTTCAAAGGAGCATGGAATTAGTAAAGATGTAATTACGACTCTCTTTGATCACTATTTTAATATGCGACTGATTTGTGTAAATGATGCACTATTTGTCTTGCCTTTAGACAAAACATTTTCTCGGTTTAATGCGGCATATTCCCCCGATTTCGGAGTCCCATCGAAAAGCTTTAAATGACGAGCTTTCTTTAATTGATAGAAAATTCATTGGTGAAGATGAAATCCAATGGCGAATCGATTTGGCCGAAAAATATTGCCAAGCCCTTGAGTCTCGTATACCCGGTATTTTTTTGAAGATTAACTATGAATGGTGTATTTTAACTCTTTTGATGATCCTTAAAAATCGTTTTAGGTTTAAAGATGTGTGTATATGGATGTGTAACAATGGGTCTTATGCGAACCTCTGATCCGGTCCTATTGAATGCCACGAAGTTGTCTTCGCGAAGCGATGTTAATTCCATAGAAGAGACTGAGCTTTCAAAAATTTTTAAAATTCTCACCAACTTTTCAAAATATCAAGATCAACCTGCTGTGCCTGAATCAGATAGGTGATTTACTACAAATTTTCTTATGCCATTTGATTATTGTTGTTTTTTCCTGTAGGATTACTTTGACAAATGACAGACTTCATTGTCGAATAATTGATGGAAGTGAAAATATTCCAATGGAAATTTCAAACAAGTCTCACAATGTCGTCAATTTTGCATCCCTTATTAAAACCTACTTTGGAATCGATCCTAGGGCTAAACAGTTGGCAAAACTGGTGGTAGTCTTTTCTAAGGTATTTTTTTCTCCGTTTGGAGCTTTATGTCCGAATTTTAGAAAGCACAATTATGCGAAACCTTACCAATCCAAGCTATTTGTACTATGGTCATATTCTTCCTCCAGCGTCTCTCTCCACCCCTTCTTCCCAATTTGCATGAAATTGTCCGAAAATATCATGAGAATTTTTCTATAAATTGCGTTACAAGGGTGGTATTGAAGGATGAGGATCTATCCTATCTGAGTGATCTCACAGTTCTCCCTAAATTCTTTTCCTCAAAGGGTGAGTACCTTTTATGAATGCTTTTTTTCTGATTGAAATGCGAGGAAGTTTTCATTTTTTTTATATTTTAAGATTCTTATACCTTGGGTGATCTATGGCTGAAATTTCTGCGGTTCTATGTTTGTGAATTTCAGCGTAGAGATTACCTTATTTCAATTGTCAGTTCAGAACCTGTGAAGAAATCCGCTCGAAAGATGAAATCTTCAACGCTTTTTGTGGAAGGTAAGTCTTTTCATCTTTAAATTTTTAATTTTAATTTTTAATTATTAAGTGAATTTGCTATTTAACACGGAGTATGATTCTTACATATCTGCTGATCCTTAAATCTAATTTATACTAATCAGTTTCACCTGTTTTTTATTGATAAATTGATCAAATTGTTAGGACATTTAATTTGGCAAAAAAAATGAATATAGAAGGAAGTTCTTTGAAGGTCAATTAAGTTCCTTGGGACTTTCTTGTGAAATGTGTATCCATGGCTTTTTGCAACAGCTCTTAGAGACCTAAGCATGCTCTTCTGTAACGCTCAGTTAGTCGGAAAAAAGCCCTCTGAACTTCGTTATTTTCCATTACCACCCACGTTCCGGAATATTTAAAACATTTGAAGACGTTTATGGATAGTTTTCCGTACGTGTCGCATATGAAGAGGATATTATTACACAACTTTCACCATCCTTAGTAAATTTGCCTCTATCCCATATTGGTAGAAGTTTTGTTTGCCACTCCGTGGAGTATTTGTCATTAACATCGTCATCATCAACTTTTGATTACGAACAACTTGTTTCCGAGATTTGTTATGTGCCACTGGTTTAGTGCTTACTTCAATTTAGAATCGTCTGGGGATTTCGTATATATTTTCTTTTTTATGGTCCCTTGCAATGCCATTTAAACTGCGCTTAAATTGTTTTGCCTCGGATTTCAAATTCACTAGTGTTTCTTTTCTCTATCTCAAATGCTATTATTTAAGTCTTGGATTGGTTTATGACATCGAATTCGACTGATTGGATTTGAATACTATGCTATTTACATAATAAACGTATAAATAAATGTATATATATAGCGGAAAGTGTGATTTTGAAATCAGGGTGCTGAATAAGCTTTTTGAACTGCACACTACTCTGAATAATAAATTAAACTGAAATAAGACTTCCGACAACCAAAGTGGCCAACTTTGACCTTGTCATGGGTGGTAGCAGAAAAATTTATCTGACTTTCCTAGATCATAAAACTAACAAGATTTTGCAGGATTATAAATTTGTAAATTAGGCATATTTTCGTATATTTTTAATGCTCACAATGAGAGGAGTTTAAGGAGAGCGACATTATCTGATTGCAATTTATCTCAACTCCAGATCCATTTTGTCCGGGAACTTCTCTCATCAGCGACATGACAGTCCATATGGACAAATTTATGCACGACCAATTTCTTGCCGCTTATGTCTACTTTGGCATTCCACGTCTAAAGGGTGCCTCCATGCCCCTATTCACGCACTACACTATAGAACTTTGCAAATCCCTTAGGAGGACATTTTGCCTTGGGTCAGATGGCAATCAAAGGCATCCCCTCCTCACAATTCCCGCTGCAGAATTCCAAACTCGAATAGAAAAGGTATTTCCGCAACCTCTACTCCCTTTCAAGCTCTTGTCCAGTCGCTTATTGCCCATTTTTTTATAGGTATCATCATCTGTTTCGAAGGGTGGACGACTGATTGATATTGCTGTTGAAATCCTTCAGTTGGCTATCTCAGAGATTTGTTTGCCTGAGTACAAGATAGGTACGTTATTGTACCTTGGTCTTCCTCTACTCTTTAATCCAACCTATTAGTACTATTGTCATTGATCATTATAAAATCAAACCACTTTTCCTAGATGTTAAAAAGTCCTATTTGAAGGCACCACATATTCTACTGTCATCTTATCCGATGGACAGTCTATTGCATGCATCTCAAGCGGTGGAATTCGCTCGAGCTTGCTGTAGCAATCTATGGAATGCTGCGCAGAATGACCTAAACGAAGGTGCTTCAAAGGTGCAATTACTTGTATTGGGAAGACAAGTCGTACAAAAAGTGAGACCACGGCTATTACTCTTTTTAATTACTTGCCAACTCGTGCTGATGGTCATTTGTAAAGCACTTAGGTTTAACTTGTAAGATGTTTACGAAAACCCGTTTGCCTAACCTGTGAGTCAACCACTTTATTTCAATGGACTTATCAAATTATGTTGGGGCCCGTGGTTCCATTCATAGCGAAGCATTAAAGTTTCATTTCTAAAATGATTAAACCTATTTTTTTCTCAGACGCAAAATTATTATTTAATATTGCTTCTTAAGTTCAAGTTATTACTTTAATAGGATTGAGAACTGTCCTTACTGCTGGTTTGAAAAACCTATTTTTGAGGTCGGACAACTTGATCTATAAAATTTTGAATTCATCTAGGAAATTCAGTCATTATCCATTTCAATTTTTTGTCAATATGTGAGGCATCAATTTTTTGTGGTTGGGTGTACTTGATTTCATAAAAAATGTGTTAAAGTGCTTCTTCTCAGCAAAATTTCAATCATGTCACCTGCAGCAATAAAGTGTGTAAAATCAGGAATCTACGATTTATTCGGGTATTTTTTTGCTCGCCTAATAGGCATTATGCTAACATGTACGCATGCCTTTTAATAAAGCCAGTTCTCAACTGAATGATGAATATTATCTATTCTTCCTTTAAGGCTCTAGAAAATATGGTAATTAGTGAGGAAGATATGGGGAAGAAAGCAGCAGGTGTAGGTGATGCATCCTCACCCGAAAATACAGCTGCTATGGAGGATTCAAGCCACATAGAAGAATCTACCGACATACACGGAGAAGTAGGTCCAGACCAAGAGGATGAACTTAATCAAACTCTCGCTGAAAATGTGCCTCAAATTGATTCTCACGAGTTCGCGTGGCACAAGTGTATTAATATTGAAGATCAGTACAAATATATCGTAAGTTCGTTCTTGGAGCTCGACCTAATCTCTCTTCCTTCCTCTAGGTTTTTGATTCTGAAAGACCTGGCTACTATAACTCTACTGTGATTCGTGAGCTAAAATCGGAGGATTTGGCATTTCCCTTCAAAGTGAATGAACCCTTACCCGACCATTTCATTGGCTCGAGTATCATAGCTCACCCAGAGCCTCCACCTATTGGTTGTGCTCATTGTGATATGAGAGGACATTTGAGTTCAGAATGCCCGGCTACTAATCTCCAATATTGGAAGCAAAGGGAGGCCATTGTCCCCAAAGTAGCAAATGAGAGACATCTTCATGAATTGTCTATGTGTTTCTCACAACTTGCGCAGTATCACAAACTCTCAGCAGAAATGGCTGCTCGACATGTATCTACTCACTTATTTCGATTCGTGCATCTTTTTCTCTGTATTTCATCATGAATTTCTCTACATTTCAGCGATATGTGGTCGATTGTCTCACAGCTCACTTCAGACAATTGTATCCTGATGTCTCACTGGTATTGTTCGGTTCCTGTGCCAATGGATTTGAGACTAAGACCAGTGATATGGATATTTGTGTGGTGTTTCCTGATAATAGTATCAATACCTTAATCTGGTATGTTGGAAGCTTTAATGAAAGGGAAAGGGTAAGATTTCAACTTTGAACTCCTTGATCTCTCCACCACCTCCTCCTCCTAGTTATTAAAGAACTTCAAAAAAATGTTGTCCACTAAGTGCAACTCGTTGCGAATCTCCAACATTCGACCCGTTTTTCATGCTAAAGTTCCGATTATCAAGTTTTTAGTTGATAGAACTATCGAAGTTGACCTGAGCTTCTCAAACTTCTTGGTAAGTTGGGTGTTGAATTTGGTTAAATTATGCTTAAAAGGCTATCTATAACACGCGAATGCTTCGAGTATACAATGAGTATGAACCCCGCCTTAGGGTTCTAAATACGGTTCTCAAAGTTGTACTCAAGGTAGGTTTTGTGTTCATTGTTAAATTAAAAAAATTTTAGACTTGTGGTATTCCGAAATCTTGTGACGGTGGTATTTCGTCATACGCTTATGCAATTATGCTCATTCACTATTTACAAAGAATAGGTTATCTGCCCTATTTACAAGAGGTAATCCTCTTAATTCGAGTTAAAATGTGCCCCCCCCCTCTCTCTCCCCTTCAGGCCTATGAATTGAATCACCGCCCGGTAGTTATGGTATCAGATTGGAATGTTTGGTTCCAGGAGGATTCGCAAATTGTTGTAAGTTTCTCCATTTTCTGCCCCTGATTTTTAATATTTCTCCCTGTTTAGTTGAAAAAATGGCAACCACCAAGAGATAAGGCTACAGTAGCAGAACTCTGGCTGGGATTTCTCCATTACTATCTCTTTGAGTTTGATCGAGGTGCCTATGAGGTGACAATCGATACCAAGGAGTTAGCGCCTCGGGTTACCTCAACTAACTCCTTTGTAATTAAGGGTAGATTCTAGTTCTCATCCTGCCGGAATTTCATCTAGCTTGTTTTTTTTAAAAATTGTTAATAAACTTACTTGCTTTCAACCTTCAGATCCCTTCGATTTATCCCACAATATGACGCAATTCGTCCATGATAAACGTGCGTGCCTGTTCATGTTTATCTACTTATAATTTGATTCAGTAGGCATTTTTTTACACTTTTTCTATTTGTTGGCAGTGATAATTCAAATATTTACCACGTTCTATAATGTCCTCTTGCACCACTCATCAACCATTCGAGGTGATATGAATGTGGATTTATGGAAACAGTAAGTGGTATTTTGGTATGGTGTATTCGTTTGTATCTTTAAAGACTGTAGGCTGAGGAAAAATTAAAACAAGGTTTAGAATATGAAATGTGGTGCTTGATACTTTGAACTTCTCAAAGAATATGGTCCTGATCTCTTATTGTTTTTTGATTGGACACATTCAATTTTTTTGTGCATGATATTTAAATGATGATTAATGTGCACTTCCATGCCAATATCATTCGAAACTACTTGAATATACCTAATTAACATTGGTTTTCGCACTGGTTACCCATTTTTGTTTTACTGATATTTTATACTGTTGAGGCGATTTGATTGGAAAATTTCTGCTTTTAGGATTCAAGCAGTTTCCATTACTATCTTATTTCGAATGTTTCCTTTGGTTGAAATATGTAAGACGAATGGTTATTGGTTTTTTGCTTATTTTAATAAAGAGGAAAGTAAAGCTAGAGAAATATTCATTTGTCAGCTAGGAAAGTGCGCACCTGGAGCTACTAGCACCTATAAGATTGGGGTGGGAGTGGCGGGGGGGGGGGGGGATATTGTAAGTTGGTACACTTTGCTCAAATGAGATTTTCTATTATTTATTGTTAGTTACCTTTTCTCCTCACCGAATTTGTTGGCACCGCTCGTTAACGTGTCACCCGAAGGAGATTACCAACAAAAAAATTCAAGTGGGAAAAGGCACAAGAATAAGGCGGATGCAGTGAAACCAGTGCAAAATCTTGCTCTACTTGGACCTCCCTCTGCACCTCCTAAATTGAAGCCAGTCTCAACTCAGGTTCCTGCTTCTCACGGTAACCAAACTCGTAAGTGTAATGTTGATTTGTAAACAAGTGTGAGAGAGAGGAGGAGGGGTGGGGGGGGGGGCGTTAGAGAATCAGGAACTGATATCAAGAACCATGACCACCACTTAGTGGTTGCACATATAATCAGTTCGTAGGCATAGGAAGTCGAGTGAAGAGGCTAATTTGGGTCCGCTTTGAGAAGCCATCCGACTTTGTCCTTTGAGTCACTCTGTGGCTGTTAATGAGGTGGTCCATGAGTCGTTGTGCCTATGCACTTCAAGCGTTCAGTTCTAATGATGACTCTGTTTACTTTCTTCCAGGTGGAAATGGAAGCCGCGCCAATCACATCAATGTGAATGCATCACCACCTGATCGAATGAATCGTCCTCTCCAACCTCTTAATCCACATAATCAGCCTGTTTGTTTGCCACCATTTGCTCAACAGGTTCATATTGTTCCTGTGCAAGCAAATCAACGGAATGCTATGAATCCTTCAGTTGTAGTAGGGGTTCCTCATCATCGTGGTGGTCGTGGAGGTCGTGGTGGACAATCTCATCGTAGAGGTGGGAGGGCCAGAAATTCGGGTCGTGGTCCTGCAGTCGGCATTTCAAAGACCAGTGGACGCAGTGGTCTTTTGCAGTAGCAGTTGTACTCAACTCTCATGCCGCTATTGTTCCTTTTTTCGCTAAATTTAAATATTCCATATGTGCATGTATCTCACCCATTTCTAGCTCCCTTTCCGTGTTTCATGCTCTTGAAATCTCCAAAGCCCCTTTGGCTGCATTTTAGTCACAGAAACACTCTCTCCGTATGTGTATAAAGAGTTCTTTTAGCGGAATGTTTTCTCTTGAAATGGAGTGGATTGAGGTCAATAGTGTGTCTCCTACCAGCATAACTAATGGGATCAGAAAGCCGGCAAATCAAATAGTTTTATTGAAAATCAATTCGAGATCTTTGATTCCATAAAAGTATGGGGTTGAGATGCTGTCTCTCAGGGATCCTTATGGAGACAATGGAGGCAGTCTAGAGGTGTGGGAAAGATTGAGGAGATGGTTGCGTATTTTCACGGAAAGCTAATAAAGAATGAACTGATGTTCGCACTGGCGACTCGTAACAAACGTGGATTTCTATTCCGGTATGCGACGCATTATTTAATATGTAATTTATGGGAATTGCTACTCGCATTGAGAGGAAATGATTTCCTCTAAGTTTGCAGGCATGGGGCTTGGACACTGATGTATTCAGGTGGCAAGTTATCAGTGTCATTACTTGTGGCCGTCTGGACTATTTAAAGTTCCGTGGATCATCTTGAGCTTTGTTTATTTCTTTCAAATGGCGAGCCTTATGATACTTATCATTAGCCCCTTTAGCTGACTTCTGGCTTCACAGACAGGAGGGGCATCAAAGTGGGAAAAAGTGGAGAGGGGGAACAGAAGAGTGATTAAAAGACAGACAACGGTAAGATTAGTACTGTGGAAGGGGTCGAATATGACATACAGTCGGGTCATGGTTGCTTGAAGTCAGAAGTCAACTGCCAGTTTATAGACTTCATTGTCGTATGAGAATACATTGTCCTGGGTGCATCACGAGGAGGTAAGTCTTTCGCACACCTCAGCTTTAGCTTAATTTGAGTTATTACACTATATACTGAGAGGCATGTTTAGTAAATTATGATTGAGAATAAGGTGCAATATTTTGGTGAATACTTATTCATATCGAATTAATATTTCATTGTATGCCTTCTACTAGGTATTGTTGAAATAGCAATGTACTGCACACATTGATGTATGTGAATCAATTATGATTTGCAGTGTGGTTTAGATGGTTCTAATTGAACTACTAATAAAATTTTCTTTGTAATAGCGACGATTCGTCATTTTCCGGCATATTGGCTTTATTATCTTAAACGTGAAAGTTGATCATTTATAACGATGAAATAGAATCATTTTGAAGTGGAGCTTACAATGAGGAAAAGGCATTAAGCCTCAAGAAGAAAAGGGAAATGCACATGACTTTGCAAGGACGATATTTTTAAGCTATAAAAAGCAGTCTATATTTACTCGTCCAACCGCTCTGCATATTTTTCGCTTCCAAAAATTGGGACATTCCCCATGACTTGGAGGCAGATCAAAGTTCTCCTAATTTTCTTGAAAGCGTTGCTACGAGAAGTGTGTTGTGATCAGAGAAACTATATGAATTCAAATCGCTACGAGATTTTGATTAAAATCATAAATCTGAACATGTATCAGAACAGAAATTTCTCGACCAATCAGCAACCGAGTTTATGCAACTTCGAATAGCATCGGTTGCATTTAATGACTAAGTCTGTTGGTAGCTTGACCGGAAAGTAAGTACGAAACTTGTTTGCGTCATACTTCCCCCTTTGCTCTGTACTACTGAGTTAACTTAGTTAACCTTGGGGTCAATTTTATGCGAACGAATTTTATCGATTTGCTGAGGTTAAGTTAAGACCCCATTTGAATAGTATCCGACTCAAAATTCTCTGTACCATTTTCTGCTTTGAACCCAAATGCCAGTCAATGCAATCATGCGTGTCGAAATTTTAGTGTGTTTCTTATTTCCATTATTCCTTCATTTATTTTCATTAAATTCATAATGCCTAGTTTAGATAGGAATGAGTTAGATTTCCAAACTTTGTTTAATACGATTATCATAATGGGAAAGCAGAATCGACTGTGTAGAAGCCTACGGTATATCAGTCTCAACGAAATAGAAACTTTTGGTTAGTAGCTGACCGATCGCTCTTGCACCCTACTTGGTGATCTTTGATCTTACTTCCCCTTCCCCTCTGTGGAGCCTGAAGTCAACTTATGGGCCAATGAAAACTATCAAAACGCCTGCCATTTGATATAAATAAATACATTTTCAGAAGAAAAGGTGGATTTCAAAAATAGAGTGTAAACTTTGGTGGAACAATTAGTTGCAAAATAGTTAAATAGTCGCCTATGGAGTGGGGTTTCAATGAAATCTCCCTAACCTTAGCCCCCAATAATTGCGTAAGATTAGTTTTAAAATCCAAAAATTCTTCCATAGTTTATGTTAACTCAGCCATATTTTAGATAAGTAAGATTTATATAAACTGATGAAATCATATAAATGAGCTGACCCGAATAGTACAGCTTATGACTGGTTTCTGATCTGAAACTTTATTGAACTTATTAAAGACGAACTTTTAGGTCATACACTTTCCTTTTATCACATTGGCTGCTTTATTTGACCCTGCCTAAACAGTTAGAGCTCGAGACAAATTTGCACTTCACTAAAATTTGCGAAGCCGGTGACATTGTCTGTTGGAGCCTCTTCAATCCAGTGCAACCGATGACTACCACAGAGTAAGATTGTGATCTTAAAAATTTAACTGTCCACTTTAGGAAAGTTCAACTTCCCGAGAATTCCGATGGAGAACCCTCCTCCCATGAGGCAGCATCAAACTCTCAGATGAAGTCTCCTCCATATCCCTACGCCTTTGCTCTCCAGCATATTGGCAAAACCTTTCCTCCCTACTTCCAGAGTCCGGAGAAGTCGGCAGAGTTGTTGGCAACGATGCGCACCATTTCACCAACAAATACATTTCACACTGATTTCTGGAAAGGCTTCCTCTTTCAAAAACTACCAGAACGGATTCAGTCACTAGTGGTAGATAATCTACACACTTATACGGGTGATCAACTCGCGCACATGGCCGATATTATTTATGAAAGAATGTATGGGTGCTCAGATTATCGATTTTACATAACTGACCAGATTTCAGGAGCGAAATTCTTGATTGGAACTGGTTCTTCACATTCTACCATTCCAAAAAAAAATTTAGAGCGTTTTTTAAATAAACAAGAGGACCTTCTGAAAAAGTCGAAACATGAAGGCATGGAAGCACATGGAGTGAGGGAAATGAGCGTGAATTTCTCAACTGGAAGAGTTTTGCGTTGGAATTTTTACGTGACAGACGTGCCAACTCCCATTATAGGTGCTGATTTCTTGGCATATTACAACCTTGTTCTTGATCTCAAAAATCGGAAATTAATTGACAATCACTACAAACCCACTTTGTTTGGCCCAGAGCACGATGACACTATGTATTACAATTGGTCAGAAGTTGAGACTGTGCGTGATAAAGTGACCAAAAACCTAGACGGTCACGAAAGTCCATCGGAGAATCTGAATGTAATGAGCCGTTTTGTGAAGTGGGATGCACTACGTGATGATATCTGGAAGAGTTGTTTCCTCTCAATGCTCACTGAATCCGTTCAAGAGAATTTGAAAGACAAAATTACTTCTTGTACAATCGGTGAACTTGCATTTCAAGGCGACTGCATTCATAACGAACATCACCATGATAACAATCATCGTCTCTTTGTAACCGATAGCATCTCTCATATGGCATATTTGGTTGATTCGGGGTCCCATTTCTCTCAAATTCCCAACGATGGAATTTCGCCACCCATCCCTTTTAGTAGAATTGTAAGGCTAAATGGCTCTGACCTTATTGAATATGGACAGAAGTGTATCACTCTGGGTTCAGGAGGGAATGAAACCTTAACTTGGAATTTTGTCATGACGGATACGCCTATTCCTATTATCGGAGCAGACTTTTTAACATATTATGAACTTCTCGTCGATCTTCGAAGAAAGCGACTATTCCGAAGTGCAAAATTTTAATCAAGTCAAATTCCCATTTCCTGTTGAGAATTGTATTATATTTTTATTTATTTATTTTGTTTCAATTGACATTTTAATGCCATCTCTTTTGTATCTGTGAAACAATCTTCTGTTCCCCCCCCCCCCTATCCTCCTTTTTTCTCACTCTGATATTCCTCCTCCCCTCCGTGAAGCCCGATGTCAACTAAACGGGCTAGTGATGACTGTCAAAGCGTTTGCTATTTGAAGTAAATAAATGAACATTTTTATGCATTTTGAATTGCTACAAACGTATATTGTTTGAGTTTGACCTCAACTTCAATGCGTATTTGGAGGGGTGTGAGCAGTCAATGCCAATTTAGAAATTAGCATAATCCCATGGTCTAATTGCATTGTTAATTCCAATAAGCCTTTTATTTCGATTTGTCACCATCCCAAAGACAATCAAAAGGAGGCATATCAAAGCATCACTTCTGTCAAAAGAGCTCGAAGTGTAATTATCATAATAATCCATTTTGCATTTGAATTAACTGAGGCGTTTGCCAATCCCACAAAGTTAGTTCCATCTTGAGGCCAAAAGTTTGTGAGAATCGCATAGAGTTGATTGAGAGTTAAGGTGGTTTTGAATTGAGAACGGCTAGGTTTCGAGAGGGAAACGTACGTGTGTGTGGCAAAACTATGGCTGTTTATGATAAATAACGACTAGTGTTTTGCATTTAGCAAATCTTGGTATTTTTATGATCAGCCAAGTGGGGTGTACGACAGACTTACTTCCACGTGGTGCATCCTGGCCAACGTACACTCAAACGGCAAACAAGTCTATCACTCGGCAGTTGCCTTTTAACTTCAAACTAATACTACTACTACTACTACTACTACTACTACTGTATGTCTCTTTCACATATCTACCCTCTCTTGACATTTTGCCACTTTGATGTGCCCCCTCACCTCCGTGAAGCCTGAAGCCAACTTAAGGGCTAATGATAACTATCAAAATGCCTGCCAATTGATATAACTTTATTAAAGCCAGGACTAGTTTCAATGAATTCTTTCGTGTAAGCGGGTTAACACACACACACACTAAGTCAAACTCAATGTAACTAAACGCGGTCGGATGACTTTAAAGGGATTAAATGAAAAACGGTTGGCATATTCTTGTGCGAAGTGTAGGAATTATGAATAACCCACTGTGACCTCATCAAATTAGTTAGTGTAGTAATTAACACTGCAGTGGATAATCAAAAGAAACCCACACAGTATGGAACATTTCGGATTGGGGATGGGGTGGGGAGGGGGGAGGGGAGAGGAATGCGTACTAAGATTTGTAGAACAATCAGTAACCGAGTTGATGCAACTTCGAATGGCATTGGTTGTACTTAATGACTGAGTCTGTTGGTAGTTTGACCGGAATGTGAGTAATAAACTTCTCTCTGTACCACTGAGTTAACTTAGTTAACCTTGGGGTCAATTTAATGGGAACGAATTTTATCGATTTGCTGAGGTTTAGTTGAGACCCCATTTGAATAGTATCCGCCTCAAAATTCTCTGTACCATTTTCTGCTTTGAACCCAAATGCCAGTCAATGCAATCATGCGTGTCAAAATTTCAGTGTCTTTCTAATTTCCATTATTCCTTCATTTATTTTCATTAAATTCATAATGCCCAGTTTAAATATATAGCGGATTAGCTACCTCAATAACCTTGACTATTAGAACTGGCAATCAGCACATCATCGATATATGTGAAAACGAAATCTAACCCGCGAAAAACTTGGTCCATCTATCGCTGGCAGGACTGAGCTGCATTGTGTAAACCGAAAGGCATACGTAAGTATTCGAATAAACCAAATGATGTGATTACGGCCGTCTTTTCAATGTCCTTGGATGCATGGGAATCTGATGTTAGGCTCGAACAAGGTCGGGTTTTGAATTCTGTTCAGACACCAAAACTTCCAGATCGAGCGAGGGTACGCCGATTTGGTTCAATTCCATACGCGACATTGCATTGGCTACAACATTGCTAGCGCCATCTATGTGTCGAATATCACTCGTGAATTGTGCGATAAGGTCCAAATTTCACATTTCCCTAGGAGAATAGTAGTCTGCGGCGGCCTGAAAAGCGTAGATTAACGGTTTGTGATCAGCAAAGATCGCAAACTGACGTCCCTCTAGTATATGCTGAAAGTGTTTAACAGCCAAGTATATGGCAGGCAGTTCTCTTTCTCCTTTAAGGTTCCTACAAACGCTCTAGAGGGGGAGTATTGTGGGAAACTTCATCAATGACCAATAGAAATCCTGCTACAGAACACTACTCAGAGATAATTGGCTATTATTGTTCACGCGAATTTTCGATGCATCGGAAAGAAATATCCCAAGAGACATCTTTCGAGTACTTAATTATTATTTATTAGAAATTCTCTGCGATTACACACAGTGAATAATCCATCTGAGCAATCACTGCCCAACTAGACACTTTTATTTTCTTCCTTATGACATCAATTCTAAAATTCCAGTCAGCTCAATTAATTAATTAATCAATAAATATTTATCTTGTAAGCAAACAAATTCTACATAATTAGATTTTACACAACGTTTAAAGTAAGGGATAAATTTGAAAATCATTTAGTGTTTGCTTAAATATGCATTAAATTTCTCAAAATATGAACTAATAAAAATTAATTGACTTTAAATAATTAAAATTTATAAATAATTATATTTATAATTATAAGTTATATTATTTGTAATATTTTTTTCAAGCTCTTGATGTGATGATTATTGCTGTTTGAAAGGATACATTGGCCAATAGGACTGGCATTAAATTATCGAAGTCTACCATGACGTTCACGCTTTTCACAGAAGATGGCAGGCATGTTGAAGTGGAAGACGAATATCTTATTCAATTCCCTCTGCTCCAATCCTTGTCAAATAGTGAGTGCAATTTTAATTTGATATTCATTTCATATTTTAATTGAATCAACTCTGCTTTACCCCGAATTTGTTTCATTTCTGCTTGTTTATCCAGTTTTTTTTGTTGGACTGGCAAAATTTTTGTCTATCCCACCATTTCTGTTTAATAGGTGGATTTAACCCATTTACCATATACCATGTAACGAGCGATTCCGTGATCGCTTTGTTCTCATGGGTTAAATATCGTGAACTTTGTCAAACGGCGTACGAAATGGAGGAATTCGAAACTCACTTCTTTGATTTAAATCGGGAAATATTTCCAGATTTGATGCATACAGCCCAAACACTGGGATATCAAAGGTTTATGGAAGCGTACTACGACTTTCTTTAGATAATTAAAATTGCTTTCATTGTTTAGCTACATTTTCTTTTTTTGTTTTCAACAGAATGGGATGAAGAGAAATTGAATGTCCTGAAGCACGGAAATCTCATTCTGAATTTATGGCGGCTGTGCAGTTTATAATGAGATCGCGCAATTGGGAAGTAGTTTGAAATCAGACTTATCAAGATGTCGAATTTTTTGTCTTGTAATAACTAATTGGTTTTATAGGAGTTAGCAATAGAACATTTTTGGTTTCGATCTTCAGAGCGAGGAGTAAGATCAAAGTCACAAGATGTCGAGTTTTGGAAAAGAAGGGAGATACGCAGATGTCAAAGAGATACGCACAATAAAAGAGAATAAGAGAAAGATGAGTTCTGTAGACGTGGAAGTGGTGGAATATACCATAGAGTGGGGACGTTTTTGTTGTTTGAAGATGGAAGCAAACTGACGGTTTGTACTCATTCTCGCATATGCGTATGTGTCGCATAGGATGCTCCACGTGGCGTTGGACTAACGTACACACGCAACCAAATACAATTGGTCAGATAACAGACCAATCAATGAAAGGCATTTGAAATCGTCTTTCTCATTTATGACTAGACCAGAAAAATCTGATAACCGAAAAAGGGCATGCAGCCTTAATTTAGTAAAGCTAAAATAACTCATTTCTCCCCCTCATTATAACCCTAGCGGTTGCCTTAATTGCATCTTCTATCAATATTTATTTATTTATTTCAAATGACAGGCTTTATGATATTTATCATTAGCCCTTAATCTTTGAATTCAGCTTCCCCCAAGAGGGGGGGGGGGTACTTTTATAGAAGTTAATTAATAGCAGTTCATTAGCAGTCTTCTTGCTTCCCAGTATCTCTGGCTTTCCGTCGTTGTCTTTAGGGCTGGATACCGAATCAGGTGGGTCTTCTCCATTACCTCATGTAGGTTACATAGAGGGCATGTGGGTTGAGTGTATAATCCCAATCTGTGAAGGTGTTTTGCCAGGGAATCGTGTCCGGTACGTAGTCTAAACTCATCAACGGCTTCGATTCTCGCCCAGTCGGGTATGTCGGAGAGTGCCACTGTCCACTGTTTCTCCTTTGTTCGAGCTTTGAGTTCGTTGTACCTTGAGGTCTGGAATTCTCTCCTGATTAAGGCCTTCATTGTGTGGAAAGACATCGGCCGGTCCATGCATTGCAAAATCGTTGTCCCCTTCTTAGCATGTGTGTCAGCAATCTCATTGCCTTTAATGCCACAGTGACCAGGAATCCATTGTAGGAGAACTGTTGTTTTTCTCTCTCAGCAGCTCATAGAGTTTTCTACATTCCTTTATCTCAGCTTTTTTGGGTGTCTCTCTGTTTCCAATAGAGTCTATTGCTGACTGTGAGTCCGAAAGTATCACCGCTTTGGTAAATTTCGTATCCAGGCAACATAATTGGCATAGTGCTATCCTAATAGCCTCTATTTCTCCTTCAAAAGCGGATCTATTATGTCCCGCTGCTGCGTAGAAAGAGAAGAGTTCAGAATAGACACCTGCACCAACGTTTGCTTGGTTTTCTATGTATGACCCATCAGCGAAGACT